CTTCACCCCCTACTGCTCTCTGCTTTATTTTTCTCCATAGCACTTGTTACCTTCCAACATAACTTATAAAGTACTAATTTAGTTAATTTGTTTTCCACTAAACTGTGAGCTCTCTGTGGTCGGGGTTGCTATCTCTGTTCTCAGCTGAACCCCTAGTGCCCAGAGCCGTGCGTGGCCTGTAGTACTAATATCCATCAGATGAACAGATGAGAAGACATAGAACTACATTGAGCTGAGTAACAACATAATCTGATTTCTTTTTTTTTTTTCTTTTGCTTTAAGGCGGTGGGTTTGCCAACAAGAGACAGACAGAAGAAGAGAGAAAGCATTCTCCCAGGGGATGAACATGCCACAGTCCCTTTTCCTCCATTTTCCTCTTTGGATTTTGGGGATGCACACACATGTTCCCAGTGTGTTTTTCAAGCCACTGGGTCCAGGACTCGAACTGTGCATTTGGCTAAGTGCAATCCAGCTGCCTCACCACACCACCTGGCTAGCTCATAGATATTTTTTGACATTGATATTTTTTATTGACATATAATTGATATATAGTAAAATGTACAGATCTTTATTGTTACTGTTTGGTGAATTTTGACAAATGCCTACAGCTGTGTAACCCATGGGCCCTCATGATGCTGGACATTTCTTTTTTTTTTGAGAGGTTTTTGCTATAGGGCATGTGTGCTCGCCAGAAAGACAGACAGAGAGACAGAAAGCGAGAGATCACCCCCCGGGGGGATGGCTACACTGCAATCCCTTCCCCTCCATTCTCCTCTCACGATCTTGGGCATGCACGCACAGGCGCCTGGCGTGAGTTTAAGCCACCAGGTTAGGGACTTGAACTGTGGTCTACTACATGGGAGTCCAGTGACATAGCTATTACACCAACTGCTGGTCCCGATGCTGGACATTTCTATCAGCCCCAAAGGCTTCCTGTGCTGCTTCTCCTGCTTGCCTCCATCTGGAGGCAACCACTGTTCTGATTTCTCTCATAGATTAGTTATCACTGGTTTAGAACATCATGTAAATGGAACCATTCAATATTAACTATTTCCGTATATATGTGTTTCAGTGTGAACTCTTACATCTGGCTTCTTTTGTTCAGTATGAAGTTTTTGAGATTTATCATGTTATGAGTATCAGTAGTGCTTTTTTATTGCTAAGTAGCATCCCATTGTATGGCTGTACTGTTGCCGGAATTGCTGTGTGATCAGACCCAACACCAGTACTGCTGCTTGTCTGACACTCATGAAAAATTAGAGATGCGGACACAGAGAGAGGAAAGCAAAGCGGAGTTTATTAAGAGAGGGAAGGAAGAACAGAGCTTCCAAGCAGGAAGGGATCCTAAATGGGTTGCCAAAGAGGATCTGAAACCGAGGGGGTTTTATCCAGCAGTCTGAGCAATGGGCTGACTTTCTGAGAGGGAAATAGGCTTTAGAAAATAGTTACATGGTAGTCTGAGTGATTGATTACCCTCTTCTTCTGGTTCTGTACTTCTTGTTAGAATAAGGTTACTAAATAGAAACTGTTGTAAGGGGCTGGCAGGTGGTGTGGTGATTAAGGGCGCTGAACTCCCACATGGCCAACTTCAGTCCAAGTCTCAGGCCTGCCTGGTGGCTTGCTTTTGTTCCTCTCTGGTCAAATTAAAATAAATAAATGAATTAAATTTAATTTTTAAAAAAAGAGAAAGAAAGAAACTGTTGTAAAAGGGTTGTATATTATACATAAACTAGACCAAAGAGGAAAAACACAGACTTCATTAAAAAGAGAGACACAGTGATTTCCTTTCAGGGCCCTTACCCTGTCTGGCTGTAAATGGGGTCTAGTTTCTATCTCAGTATCACAGTTTATCCATTCTTCTGTTCAGGGGCATTTGGATTGTTTCTATATTTTGGCTATTGTGACTGAACATTCATGTTGAAGTCTTTTTGTGGGTACGTGTTTTCATTTCTCTGGGGTTAGTGCCTAGAATGGAACTGCCGGGTCATGGGGTAGGTGATGTTTAATTTTGAGAGATTGCCAAACTGTCTTCTAAAGTGGTTGTACTCCTTTATGTGTCCATCAGCATTATATCAGAGTTTTAGTTACTCTGTGTCCTTGCCAACTTTTATGATTTGTGTTTCAGCTATGTTACCACTGCAGCACTCCTGACCTCACATCATTTTTTTCCAGGTGATCTAAGAAGGTGTTCACAGATAATCTAACCAAAGGTCAAGGCTGTAGCCTTGCATTTTATTTTCTTCCATAGCCAGAATTCCGGAACTGTGGTAGGGAGCTTAGAAAATGAGCAAAAGAAGAGTACGCAGCTGGTGGAGAAACTTGCTAGACTGTGCTGAGAGTATTCATGTCCGGCATCTTCTTTGGTCAGAGGTTGCCCCCCAGATGGGCCAGATATTGTAAGAGATGGGCCAACAGGCAGTGTGGAGGTTAAAGCGCTGGGTCCCACATGGCCAACTATGAAGTTTGAGTCTCGCACCAACCTGGCGGCTTGAAAATCACAATGGGTGCATGTGTGTGTATGCCCAAAATCCCTAGAGGAGAATGGAGGAGAAGGTATTACGGCGTGGCCATTCTCCCTGCATAGTGATTTCTCACTTTTTTTCTCTCTGTCTCTCTTTGGTGAGCTCATATACCCTAAGCAAAAACTAAAATTAATTAATTAAAAAAAGATATTGCAAGATCTACCCAGTCTCAGAACTGGAGCTGGTGTTCTGATTGAGAGAACTTCCTCCTGTAAGGCATGTCTTCAGACAACCAAATTATCAAAACACAGCTTGGGGGTAGGGTGGGTGCAGAATTAGTTTTGTTGGTGTTGGAGGGTATCAGAGCCCTTACCTGTAATGCCTTTTCCTTGGCACACTTTGTTCACGAACCCAGAGTGGCCATGTAGCACCAAAAAACTAGCCATTAATGTGAAGGTAAACTTGCTCTCAAACTTGTTTCTGGGCTCCTATGGTTTTAGAGCTACTGGAAACCGTCACCACTTAACATTTCGTACTGTCTGAAATGCAGTTGGTTACCCAAGAATTTCTCTGTTTTTTGATCCAGAGGTTTCCCAAGCTTCTGTAGCCGTTAGCCGTGTACCTGTGGATCACCTCTGTCAGTGGGCACCTTCGACCCATTTCATACTGCTTCACCTGTTTCTGTCTCAATGGGAGATTTTTCCTGACCTTGGTCCCAAATTCTAGGTGCTTATTAACCATAGCTCTGTGTTCAGTTCAGCCCTGGGGGCAGCACTGGGGAATGAACTGTGACCAACCAGACACAGGCTCCACCCTCGTGGAACACACAGCTTAGTGGGAAGGGCTTTGTGATTGTATAATTAGAAGTGTGATGGATGAAGCCGTGAAAATGGCAGTGAAGGTGCCGTGGGAGCGTTTCACAAGGGGACTGAATTTGGTTTAGGAGATGAGGGAAGGCCGTCTTTAAAGTCTTAAAGAGTGAGTGGGAATTAGCCAGGTACAGGGAGTGGTAGTCTGAAAGCCCTGAGGAACTGAGAGAAGCCTCAGTGGAGAGGAGACAAGAGCTCAAGATGTGGCAGGAGAGAGGCTGGGTGGGGTCAGAAGTGAGCCAGATTAAGGATCTGGAACTTGTATCCCAAGGGGAAATTGTTGATAATTGTTTAAGGTATTTTGGGGCAGAGATGGGATTACCAGTTTAGTATTTTTAAGAGATTATTGTGGGGCCAACAGTTAGCATAATGGCTATGTCATTGAACTCTCATGTAGTTGACTGCGGTTTAAGTCCTAGACCCGGTGGCCTAAATTCACGCTGGGCACATGTGTGTGTGTGCCCAAGATCCCAAAAGGAGAATGGAGGAGAAGGGATTGCAGCATGGCTATCCCCCTTGGGGTGTGATTTCTCACTTTCTGTCTCTGTCTTTCTGGCGAGTGCATGTACCCTATAGCAAAAAACTCTCCAGAAAAAAACAAAAAGAGAGAGAGATTATTGTGGGGCCAGCAGGCGGTGTGGTGGTGAAGGCACTGGACACTCCCACATGGCTGACCTCGTGGCTTGCTTTCTCACTTTTTCTTCCCCTCTCTCTCTCTCTCTCTCTCTCTCTCTGTATCTTTCTCTGGTCAAATTAAAATGAATGGATTAATAAATAAAATAAAATAATTCTTTTTAAAAAAGATCATTGGCAACTATAGTGTGAAGACTAGATGAAGGATGGGGAGAAGGTGGTTATAAGACGAGAGGTGAGGCACCATTTACAAGGGCGCCATATTCCAGGCATCAGATGACCAGGACAAGATTTGGGAATAGAGGATATTGGGACAGGGTATGACTCTGCAGACAGGAAGAACTGGCAGGTCTGAAAGAAGTGAGTTAGACAGGCTTTGAAGTTGATGAGCAAGACAGGAGCAGGAGTTGGAGATGGTTTATTTTAACTTAATGAGAACCAGAGCAGGAAAGCAGCATTGTAACTTCACTGTCCTAGCCGCTTTACTCATTATTCAGGTAAAATTTTATTTTTGTGGAAGATTACGGATCCGGAAATTGAACTGTGACTCACTGGGGTTTCTCAAAACCAGCAGATGCCTCCAGAAATAATTTGGGAAAGAGAAGGAAAAGTAGGAGGCCAGGATGGATATACTGTGAGCGACTGATCTAGTGGTGTCTTACAGGGGTTGGTGAAGGGTCAAAGGAACCAAAGCCTTGGACTGCAAGACTTTTTAGGTTCTTTGTGGACTCTTCATGCTTCTGTGTGTGCTACAGGAGTCAGATGCTCTTTGTTGGGGACAGTAGGAAGGGAAACTTGGGTATGAGCCTGTGAAGACAGACTCTTAAACCTAGCTGGGTGCTCTCTCTGTACCTGTTTCTTCTCATTGGAGAAGGAATCCAACTTTGCTCTGTGGGGAAGGGGACTGAATGGGTGGCCACCCTCACAGTCTGAGAATTCACCATTTCTGGCCAGAAGTGGCCCTCATGAATAATAAATGGTCTCTGAGTTTCCGGCCCTTGATCTCACGTGAACTCTTTGGGTTTTCTGGTCGTAGGAATTGGATTCAAGTATGTGGCTCTGGGAGACCTCGTCATTCTCATCACGTTTGGTCCACTAGCTGTGATGTTCGCCTATGCTGTCCAGGTGGGCTCCCTGGCCATCTTCCCGCTGGTCTATGCCATCCCCCTCGCCCTCAGCACTGAAGCCATTCTCCATTCCAACAACACCAGGGACATGGATTCCGACCGGGAGGCTGGCATCGTCACGCTGGCTATCCTCATCGGCCCCACCCTCTCCTACGTCCTCTACAACACACTCCTCTTCCTGCCATACCTGCTCTTCAGCATCCTGGCCACACACTGCAGCATCAGCCTGGCACTGCCCCTACTCACCATTCCCATGGCCTTTTCCCTCGAGAAGCAGTTCCGAAGCCAGGCTTTCAACAAACTGCCCCAGAGGACCGCCAAGCTCAACCTCCTGCTGGGACTTTTCTATGTCTTTGGTATCATTCTGGCACCAGCAGGCAGTCTGCCCAAACTTTAACGGGACCAGTAGCAGCCCCAAAACATGTCTCCCTGTCTTAGAATGTATTGAAGTCACGAGTATCTGAGAAGGGAATATGATTTGGCTGTGAGGGTAGTTAGCACAATTGTGAAATCCCTCCTTTTTTGTAATTATTATTCTATTTCTAAAGGTAATCACTTTTTTTTTTCATTGTTTTCATTTTCCATTTTATAGGGAATAATATTCTATTTCTAAAGGTAATCACTTTTTTTTGTTTTCATTTTCCATTTTAGAGGGAATCTTGAAAACACCCTGTATCAGAAGGTGAATGGGATACATGGACCTTGCTTTATTTATAATTTCCACTAGAGGGTGTTGTCAGGTCACTTTAAAATGGAATGGCCTGAGTTCCTCCTTGTTCGTAAAAAATGTTCTAAGACATTGTAAAGGAGCATCCTGGGTTGGCCTTCTATCCTGAAAGAGCCATGGTAACCGGGCGAAGTGTCATCCGTTACATTGGCCTTGCTAATGATTGGTGCCAGGCCCCATTAGCGTGGGGAGCACCTGTCTCTTACTCTCAGCACTGGTGTCCTGAAAATGCTGCTTGAGAGAGAAAGGCCCTCATTAACAACCTTGTGTGACTCTAGGCTTTTTGCCTAAATTGTCATTTGGACACTTTTGTCCTTCATCTCTCCTTTCACTTATTGTCACAGTCAAGGAACAGCATCAGATCATTCAGGGGAAAAGACCCACCCTGGAGGCATCTGAGAAAACTGCTCTGCTTTTGAATAGAAATTAGTAGGGTAGCTGTTTCCCTTTGTAGAATTCACTAGAATGACAGGAAGGACTCTCAGCCCTTTCAGTAACTATAAGGAGCCCAGAAATTGTAGTAGCCATCTTTACAGGCTACTTAAACCCCACAGACCTCCAGGTCACCTTTCTTAATGCCTCCCTATACCCACCCTCCATACCTGTCTGGTTCCCCTTTGTGTGTTTCCCGTCCACAGCCAGATTCTTTGGGCAACCGGGTCATGGACAGTTGCCACCTTCCACAGAGCCACAGGGTGGGCAGAGCAGAGACCCAGTGGATGCACAAGTCAGCCTGAGTCCTGTTCGGCCAGAATGACAGGCCCTGCCAATGAAGGAACTGCATCTTCATCTTTGAAGGAAAATGACATTGATGTGCAATATTGACCCTGCCTTCCAGGGCTTCCCTTGCCTTCTACAAAGATCGTTGAGGCTTCAGTGAAGTCATACCCAAAGTGAGAGTATTGCAGTGTGAATCGTAGCTGCTTTCAATCACATTGCCTAAGTGGAATTTCTGGGCTAGAATTCCTCAGCTGCATTTCGTCCAAAACTAAAATAGAGACTATTGTGCTTTCTCTTGTGATCATAACCATGGTAGTTATGTCAAGGGGCTTGGCTTACAGAAAATGACATAAGAACTAGTTCTTAATCCCTCAGATCAGGCTATTTATGATATGGCTCTTAGAGTCAGAGTGGGTCAGCTTACTTAGAAAGAACATATTAAGTTCTTTTACAATTAAAGTTCTGTTACAATTAAAGGTCGTGGGACCAGCAGATGGCATAACGGTTACATTGCTGGACTCCCATGTAATTTACCACGGTTCAAGTCCTGGACCTGGTGACTTAAAACTCACATCAGACACATGTGCATGTGTGCCCAAGTTCCCAAGAGGAGAATGGAGGAGAAGGGATTGCGGTATGACCATTCCCCCCCACCCCGGGGGCGGTGATTTCTTGCTTTCTGTCTCTCCGTCTTTCTCTGTGTCTCTGGCAAGCACATGCACCCTATAGCAAAAATCTCTCTCTCAAAAATAAGTTAATTAATTAAATGAAATGAAAGGAAATAGTTTGTCTACCAGAGAGTCAGAATCCTTGAACAGTGGTCAGAGCCCAAGAACGAGGGAGACAAGACAACCCTTCTCTCCTGCCCTTCCCAGCACCATTTTTGTTTCATGCCATTCTTGTGGCATTTTGGTGCTCACAGGGACCCTGCCTTCAAAGAAGCTCCTCTGACCTTTCCTCAGAGCAGGGCATTGTCACATAGGGCTATCCCTGCGGCTGGAGGACCAAAGGGTTCCTGCATCCACAGGCCAGACCTGTCTTTGTGGCTGCTCCCCTTGGCGTAGTCAGATAGCTGCTGCACTGTGCTCTAGTGCAGATTTTAATGCAGACTTTTATAACTAAACGTTCCCGAAAGGCCAAATTTGGTGCCAGGTTTTATATACAAGTCATTATAATTTGTATTATGTCCCCTGATCCAATGAAGGTTTTCCTTAGACTTGTTAATTAAAAGAAAAAAAAAATTATTCATCAGTGGTCTGGTTCTGGTTTTTCTTTGCTTTCCTCCTCCTTCTCTTCCTGTCTGATTGTAAGTTCTGACTGATAAATCTCAGAGACCAGGGCAAGGACACTGGACACTGGGGTGGGGGAGGAACACTTGGTTTTTGGTGGTCAATTTGGATAGCATTTGACCATGTTTGATGGGCCCTTAGAAAAGGCAACAGGGAGGATCAACAGATGGCATAATGGTTATGTCACTTGTCTCCCACGTAGCCAATTGTGGTTCAAGTCCCGGACCCAGCAGCTTAAAACTTAGGCTGGGTGCATGTGCGTCCATGCCCAAAATCCTGAGAGAAGAATGGAGGAGAAGGGATTGCTGCATGGCCATCCCCCCTGGAGGGTGATTTCTCACTTTCTGTCTCTCTGTCTCTCTCTGTCTCCAGTGAGTGTATGGGCCCTATAGCAAAAATCTCTCTCTAAAAAAGAAAGAAAGGGCAACAGGGACCACTTCAAGCCAGTATGGAATTTCCAAGAGCCAGTTAGCAGTTAGGCCAAGTGAACCTCATCTCCTTCTGTCCTTGCCTACTTTCATTTTTCTTTATTCTTGATAGGGTCACTGTGCTGATAGATTGAGGACACCTAGTAGATTGAGTACATTTGAGTTTCAGCTCGGCATTTGACAATATATCCTTATGAACAAGGCAGAGAGATGTGGAAGGGATAACAGTATAGTCAGATAAATTCCCAAGAGACTGAGCAAGCCGTGGGAGAGGGCCAACTGATTGGTGTGTCACTGTCATCTGGGCAGGAAGCCGTTATTAGCACTCAGCCCTGCCCTCTGCCCCTGGTGCTGCTAGATTCAACACCTGTTATTAATGACTCAAACGAATCAGCCAAAGTTGCAGGTGTCATGAACCTTGGAGGAAGAACTTATAAAGTGACAATTAGGATCCTCATAAATCCCAGGGCTGTTTTGATGAATCAAAGGAGAAATTTAGCATGAATACATACAAAGCAAGATAGTTGTTTCCCCAGAAGGGGAGAGATCCATGGCATGAGAGCAGTAGATGTGGTGAGTATAAATTTTGCTGATGACTCTGAGATATGGCAACACATACCTTAATTTCTTTTTATTTTTTGTTTTTAGGTTTTTGCCATAGGGCATGTGTACTCTCTGGAAAGAGAGACAGAAAGCAAGAAATCACTCCCCAGGTGGGACGGCCATGCCACAATCCCTTCTCCATTTTCCTTGTGAGATTTCGGGCATACACGCACATGCTCCTGGTGTGAATTTGAAGCTGTTGTGAATGGGACTCAAACCAAGAAGTAGGCCATATGGGAGTCCAGTGATGTAACCATTATGCCATCTGCTAGTCCCCATACCTTTCTTTCTTTGAGTCAGATTTATTCTCTCAAGTGGAGTGGCTGGATACCCAACCTGTCACATTTTGAGCCCCTTCCTATTTGTCTAGGACCACCCAAAAGCAAGCTGCCTCTCTGCTACTTGAAGCTGGGATTCTGCCCTGGAAACTGCCCTTATCTTGGGCACTGTGGCTCTAGAAGGGTTCTGACTGTCCTGTCCTCTGACACATACCATGGGCCTGCAGGGCTCTGGCCCCTGCCACCTTACTCCCATTTCTACCCAACTCAGGGAAGTCCCTTTCTGTCAGTAATCTACCCTGTGCTCCTCCCCAACTGAGTGCATTTCCTTTCTTCCCTATCCTTTGCAGTACCTTTGCAGGGAGTCCCAGCCAGGGGCTTTTAGAAACTCAGGGCTGGGAACCAGCAGTTAGTGTAATGGCTATGTCGCTGGACTCCCACGTAGTCGACCGCGGTTCGCATCCCGGACCCGGTGGCTTAGAACTCACGCCGGGCGCGTGTGCGTGCGTGCCCAAGATCCCGAGAGGAGAATGGAGGAGAAGGGATTGCGGCGTGGTCATCCCCCCTGGGGGGTGATTTCTCACTTTCTGTCTCTATATCTCTGTCACATGCCCTATAGTGAAAACCTCTCCAAAAGAAAAAAAAAAAAGAAACTCAGGGCTAACCTTCTAGAGTTTGGTGGAGAAAGAAGATGTGAAAACATTGTATGTCGTCTTACTAATTCTTCTGTTACTTCTGTATTAAACAAAAATCTGTGCCTGTAGCCTGTCCTGCAGTTCAATTTGAGTCAGTGATGAGCTCTGACTTCCATGAATGTTAACGTGACCCAAGGTGGAATTAATAGATGAATGTCTGGAATAAGGAAGGCAGAAGTCTCATGGGACCAGCAGTTGGTGTAATGGCTATGTCGCTGGACTCCCATGTAGTCGACTGCTGTTCGAGTCCTGGACCCGGTGACTGAAACTCATGTCAGGCGTGTGTATGCGCATGCCCAAGATCCTGAGAGGTGAATGGAGGAGAAGGGATTGTAGCGTGGCCATCCCCTGTGGGGGTGATTTCTCACTTTCTGTCTGTCTCTCTCTGTCTTTCTGGTGAGTGCATGCGCCCTATAGCAAAGACCTCTCAAAAAAAAAAAAAAAAAAAAAAAGAAGAAGTCTCTGTCCATCCCTGTGCTGGTCATTCCACATGTGACCAGTCCTGACCACCTTCTTTCTTTAGTCTGTAAATTTGGTATACTTGGATTTCAGCAAGGCACTTGACACTATGTGTGAAATGTGGAATGGCTGCAAATATAGGTAGCTTTATTTCTGTGTACATGTGTATGTGTACACATGCCTGTGTGTTTTTGCATTGGTAACAGCTGCGGTAAAGATTTTGTTTCTCAGTATGGGAACTACATTTTGAAGATGTTATTAACAACTGGGTTTTATCCAGAAAGCAGTTGGCAGACTTGTGAAGACTCATAAAACCATGTTAGCATGCTTTTAGGTAAGGGTGACTTAGGGCAGAGGGATTGTTTAATCCTTGTTTGTGTTTTCCTCTCTTCTCATGTGACCTCAAAGGGTAAAACTAGGACGGATGTGAGGACGTTATAGTGCCCCAAGTTTAAGTTCTTAGATCAGGAAGAACTTTGTAGCCATTAGAGTGGGATGTTCAGAATGTCCTGGTGGACAGTGAATTCCCCGTGCGACTAGAGGCATTCAAGGCAAAGGACGATTCTTTGTCAGGAACATTGAAGAGTCACCTCTGAGAGGGGTGGAAAGAGAAGACTTTCCAATCCTGTGATACAGTGACCCGGTTGTTATGGAACTGTCTCTCAGACCTGCCCCCAGGGGTTGAAAGGACAGTTGAAGGAACATGTTGGCATTTCTTTCCCTTGATGTCAGATTGGTAGCTATCTACTCATCTTCACAGGCACAGCTGTGATTGATATTCCTTCCTCTTTCTTTAAAATAGTATATATATGGACATACGTGTACACGGATACACGCACACACAGTTGCTTTCTACCCCCGAAAGCCCTTGAAGTGAGGTGGATGACAGCTCTCTTCCTCCCAGCCCGGTGACCACTCTGTGCTAATGGGCTGTCAGCCTCTTTCATTATGGGCTCCAGACTCTGCAGGCTGGTGTAAAAGTAGAGCCTCTGGCAAGAACCTGGCACTTGGGTCTCAGCCAGTTGACATTTGTGATTTGCCCTTCTTCAGTTTGGGACAGCCCTCCCATGGTGAGCAATTAAGCCAGGATGCCAAGCTGTGGTGTAAACCAAGTCAGGTCCCTCCCTGAGGAGGTGACGGGGTGAGTCTGGGCTGTTCGGGATGCTTGCACATGGTTTTCTGGGTGGGGGGAAAGGCTGAAATTGCAAGACACATGACCACCTCGAGATGTAGGAGCTGCAGGAGGGACATTGAGGGTCACATGCCCTTAACCAGGCTGTGTGTGTGTGTGTGTGTGTGTGTGTGTGTTTCCGTGTTTCCGGGGGGGCATAGCGGTGATAGGCAGAAAGTGGGTCAAGGCTCTGTGTGGTGTGATTTAAGGGGGATTCCGGATCTCACACCCTACACTCCTGCCCTATCCTTGCCCCCTCTTCCGTAGCCAGACTTACAATTACCCCTTGTTGGCATCCTAGTGGGTTTAACAGGTAAGGACATGGCATGTGTTACACATCTATTAGTTTGTCAACATATTTATTACTCATTTTTTCTAGCAGACATTGGGACTGGAGTATAAGAACTGTTTTATTTGTCATCCTGTCTCAGCACTAGTGCAGTGCTTGATGCAACAGAATAGGCACCCCACCCCTGGTTGTTGAATGAATTATATGGGCGTGACTGAACCCTCTGCTGACTGACAGGTGTGAGAGTTTTGACTGCTGCATCCCATCAGCTGGCTGATTGAGCAGTGAGGATAAGTGTGTTCCACTTAGGGTTGGGAGTAGAAGGGGAATATGGCAGTAACTCCTAAGATATTTTAAGACC